ACGTACATATACCGATGCTGCATCCTAGATTTTTACGATATTTCTGTGGATACAAATTCACAGGTTCCTCGCGCACGTGTTCCCCATTCGATACGCGTCTCGTTCGCCGACTCGCTCTTGGTTATCACTTTCCAGTTATTCTGGGAATTTCTATTCGTTTTTGAAAAAGGAAAAAAAGGGAAAAAAGATACAATACCGCTTGTTACCGTGACGTTCGATATCGGTTGAATTTTAAAGATATACACGATCAGATTTATCAAGATATGTTTCTCTTTGCGTCACAAAGATACCACGCTTAGTTTATCCTTACATTTGCGCATTTGTGAACTCGCTACAGCGTAAATATTATAATATACATGAATCTTGTATTATTTAGGAAAAATAGATGTATATTCCCAGTAGTACGAGCACATCTTGAATTATTATCCACCGACTAATCTTGCCCACGATTCCTGTATATATCGAATAACAGAAATTTCAATTTTGTATCCAACATCAAGAATTTATTGCGCCGTATAAAGCCTCTATCCGCTCTCTCTCTCTCTCTCTCTCTCTCTCTTCTTCTCTTCTTCTTCTTCTTCTTTCTCTCTCCATGCTCGAGGCAACGGGGATACAACGTATTGCTCAATTTCAAAATACGTACTAGTAACTGAAGTCGAGAAAGAACATTTGCTCGTACACATTGGAGATTATGTACGTAATGCAAGCGGAGATACTGGTGTTTTAATGGAGTTAAAATAATTGTTTCGAAAAACAACGGAATGTTTGATCCATTTTTTTTTATCTTGGATTATCATCAAAAAATTATAGGAGTTAAGCTAAGATATAATTTTTTCCCCCCCTAAATTGCTAACTTTTTCCATCCCGTGCATTTTGACTCGTCGAAAATAAATTGCTACTTCGTTTCGTTACAATTACGTATAAATCTTTCGCGAGGATAAATAAAATGACGATTGTGTAAAACCGACGGGGGAAGGGGGAGGGAGCAAAGATTCTTTCAAATGTCAAAAAGAATTGATATTTATGTTCACTCCCGTGTTACACAGTTTCTTCTCTCGCAACTACGCAAGAAAGGAAAGAAAAGCTGGTACAGAATTTTAATCAAATAAAAAAAAAACGTAAAGTTAAGAATAGTTTTTTTCTTTTCTTCACTTCCTTAAAACTCGTTTCGTTGTATCGGAAATATCCGAATGAACGAAGAAGAAAATGAGAAAAGTTAAAAGAACGACAGATTGAAATGTAATTTGAACGGTAATATGATCGATATGATGATAAATAATAATTCAAATCGTGAGAATGAATTGGCCATTTTGAAAAATCTAATATTATTTTAAGCGTTGTTGCAAATGTAAGATGGCGTTAACAGTTTACCATGGTTAAATTAAATTTAATTCTTCTTTAATTAAGTAACGACTGAAGGAAGAGGGCGAGAGTAGTGTGCAACCACAATGAAATGTTTTCCTTTGTTTTGCATATGCATGCGTCCCGCGCTACGTTCAGAAAATCAATGCAAGCGGTGTGGTAGAGCGGTTTTTTTCCAACGGGACAGTCGAGATGAAATCGTCGAATTAGAAATAAAGGATTTCGATCATTATAAATATTGCTCCCTTAACGAACGTAGAAAAAAAAAAAAAAAGAAAAAAAGAAAGAGAAATCGAACGATGCATTTTAATCTCTTTGTCCCTTTACTTTCAAAACTGACTTTGATTTGGGGAATATTGGAAAAAAATATTTAAATTTCCAGCTATATGTTACAAAGAATCGATCCATGGCGAACATTAATTGGCGATGAATTGATTTGACAGTGGATAATTGAGATTCGAAATCGAGGACGAAAAAGTTTGAAGAGAAAGCAGGCGTGAAAGAAAAGCGTGTTAAATGAAATAACGCGTATGAATAATCGCGACAATTAAAGTATTCGCGGGACAGAAAACGAGAAAGTAACGATATCAACGTTCGAATTCGATGCAGGCTAATAAAAATTTTTAGAAATATTATGGAAGAACTATAAATACAGCTGAGGCTTTATTTTTCGTAAAATTCGTCTCGTAATATTTTTATAGTATTCTTGAAGATGGGATAGAAGACGGTTTGACAGACAACGCGTTCAAGCGGAAGTAAAGAACCTTGTAAATCCAACGTCATCTTGGTCCGTCTGTGTTATCGATTTTCTGTGAACGCGAATATCAAAAGTATTCTAAACGTATATACGGCTTTTGCGTGAAATATCGGGAAAATAAAAAGGAGAAAATAAGAGCGTACGCGAACACTTTTTATTCCCCCTCCCCCCTCTTGGCAATGTGCCATTCTCAAACGGAAGAAATCCAAGACGATAGATTTTTCGACGGGCAACAAACCTTTTTATTCCCATTTCGATCCAGTACGGAGGAAAAGGATTGTATTGCACGCGTATGAGAGATGAATTACATAGTAAAAAAAAAAAAAAAAAAAAAAAAAAAAGAAAAACAAAAAAAAATATATCCTTATTTGATTATTCATGTTGGAAAATGGAAAGCACATTTCGCGAATTGCATAAATTACAACGTGTATCGAAAATGTTTCCGATTTTTACATCAGCAAATCTTCTTGTTCTCTGTTCACAGAACAACCTGACAGACGGGAACGAAGATCTGCCTGAAGACACTTTCTCGCTGTTGTCGGTGCTTCTAGTTGGTTCGCTAAACTTCCCATTTGATCGATCGCGACTCGCCCCTCGAAGGCAACCCTCTAGGAGGACCTTCACTCCAAAACTTTGATCTAAACTCGCTCTCTCTCTCTCTCTC